TAAAAAGTTTGACCATTTGTTGGGGAGGTACCAGAAGGGGCGACCGATATATCCCATCTTCAAAAAAAAAAAAAAAACTGTAATGTGTGTAATTTGAAGAAAATTCGGTTATAATTATTCAAAACGTTGACCCTTTGTGGGGGAGTTACTTGATGGAGTGGACTGATATTGACAATTTTCGCACCTAGTCTATCATTTTTGGAAATATTAGAATTTACAAAGTTGGAGCAAAAATGAATTATCCTTTCTCCTTCTATCCAGTAAAGTATTTTTTTTTTTTTTTTTTTGGGAAATTTCGACCTTTTGTGAGGTAGGTACAATTTTACCCTGTGTAATTCCCTATCTTGCTGATCGCACCAGGTTCATAATCTCTAAATTTTTATTGTGTATCATCTCCCGTTTTTATTTGAGTGTAAAAATTGTTCATTATTTTAAAATATTATTTACAATTTCGACGTCCCTTCATCTACTATTGATGAATGTTGTCCTCATTCATTCTGTACTTCCTTGAGACAATGTGTGACTTTTAACAGCGAACGTGTTGGCAACCAAACGTGTCACAATTATGTGATGAAACTTGTGTTGTTCACTACGTTATCTATACTCGTGGCATCTTCCAAGTGGTGGTTACACACAAGTGGCAGTAGTTGATGAAAAGACATCATTCATGGTCTCTCGCCAAGATGATCGATTTTATCGTCCATCATGTTCTCCTCCAACGGTATATCAGGTTTCTGGCGCATCGACACCCATTACTTTAAATAAATTTCCTTGAAAACTTTCGACATTTCAAAGTCAATAAACGTCTCGCCATATAGTTTTCAATCATTGAAATAAATGTTTATCGTTATTGTTGGCAAAAGCCGTCTCTCATCGTCGCGTAAGATCATTATTTAGATTATCTTTAATCAATTTTGTAATTATTTAGAACATTAAAAGGCGATAAATTTTAAATTTGCGTTCAGTTACTTCCGTGGGTTTTCTTTTCTTTTGTTATGTAGTGTGTGGTTGTATTTAATTTCCTTGTTTTTTGCTCTTATCTGAAATTGGAATATTGAAAATTACATTTTAATTAATGTAAATTGCCTTAAAATATGCTTCATTTGTTAAGATGTTATAAATGAGTTAAGATAGCATCTACATAACGGCATTGCCAGATGTATTGGTGTAGGTTGTAAAAAGGCACTCTTATTGGGTTATTGTTAGCGTCCAATTAGAAACTTCAAAATAATTATGGAAATGTGAAAGACATGTAAAAAAATATATTTAATTTTCGGATTTTTAAGAATAGGTCTAATAATAATCAGTAAAGAAAAATTAAAAGTAGGTGGGGACCGGCTTAGTGATACCTACACCAGTATGGATATTTAGTAGAGCTGCCCGTAAGAAATAGAAAACCAGTAAGGAAATGCCAAAAGTCGGGTGGGGCATACTATGCACCACTATGCGTATTTAGTTGGGCTTCCGTAACAAAACAATTTTATATTAAAACTATATCCAACTCTGAATCGATATTTAAGAAATTTGACGGGGGATTGTGTACCACTAGTACCAAATAACTTGTACCTGTATAGTGGATAATAAGACTTCAATAAGAACTATATTAAAAATACTTATTGGAGCAATAGATATACCGGACCGAGTTTCACCAAATGATAAAACTCTGTTGAATATGAAAAAATCTATTCAATTTGGGCTGATATTACATATATGGTAAGCAATAACCGTAAAATCGGATGAAGATGTATATCAAAGCTATATAAAAAGCCTAAACCGATCTCGACAAAATTTGGCAGAGGTATTTTCGAGCAGTATCTGATGCCCGTTGTCAAATATCATTGTTGTGGAGTTCATATTAAGCATGTGAGGGACTGTAACACCAAATCGAATAAAACATATATATGAGAGCTATAGCTATATCTGAACCGATTTTCACCAAATTTGAAGTACTTGTTACTAATATGAATTCAGTCGGAATTGTTAAAATTCCGTCCATTTGGTCTGATATTAGCCATATGGTGCTATATCCTAATCTGATCCGATCTCGATAAAATCTGACAGAGGTATTTTTGAGCTCCATAAGTTATCTGTTACCAAGTATCATTCTTATGGAGTGCATATTACGCATGTGAGGGACTTAAAACCCCAACAATTGGAAAAAACATATATATGGGAGCTATAGCTATATCTGAACCGATTTACACCAAATTGTATGAACGGGTTTCTAGGATGAATTCAGTCGTAATTGCAAAATTCTATCTGCGCTGATATCAGAGATTTAACCTGATATCGGATACAGATATATATGGGAGCTACATCCTAATCTGAACCAGTCTGGATAAAATTTAAGAGAGGTATTTTCGAGCAGTTTCTGATGTCCGGTACCAAATATCATTCTTTGAGAGTGCATATTACGCATTTGAGGGACTTAAAACCGCAAATCGGATGAATATATATATATATGGGGAATAAAGCTAAATCTGAACCGATTTTCTCCAAATTGCTTGTACATACTTGCTTCAAGACTGAATTCGGTGGAATGTAAAAAAAAATTAAGGTTATTTGGACTTATATTGTTCTGCTAAAAAAATTACTTAAATTTCGGAATAATATAAAAGGAATATTATGAGTTTTCAAAATTGTTCCTATTTATGAAGGAAGTTATATCATAAGCCAACTATGTTTTAGAAGAACTTTTAGAAGTGTATATATATTTTTTTTTTTTGGAAGTCACTAGCGGATTTCACCTTTTATAAATTATTACCACCTGCACCTTAAAATTGAAGATTCTCTCCAACAGTTCGTGTTAGGCCTTTTTATTACACAAAATGCAAAAGTTGTTCAGTTTGAGAAAATCTTATAATCAAAACATCATACATCGGAGTAGATTTTAAGACTTCCAAGATTTTATATATTATTCAAGTTTTTCATATTTCGGAAAGATAATAAAAAAAATGTTTACTTTTAACAACAAAAAGTGTTCGAAATCTTTCATTTTGATTTTTTTCGAAGAGGATATTAGTAAATCTATTGCATAGTGGACGCACATAGAATTTTTCTAAACAAATGATTTCAACTACTCCATATTTAAACCCTAGAAACCAACAGTGATCGCAATATCAAATTTTGGAATTTCAGCTCTCTCCTCTCACCTAATACCAAATATAGTTATATTTAGTTCTTATCGTACAGTTAAAATACGAATTTTCAAAATAATTTCCATTTCACAACTTCAGATACCAACAGTGACCCTATTATCAAATTACAGCTAAATTCCTTCGCCCAATATCAAATTTAGTATAATTTAGTACTTTTCGTACAATTCCAAAACCACCTCCATATCTTAATTCCAAATATTAACAGAGGTCTCATATGTAATTTCTTCATTCCAGCACAATCCCTTCACCCAATACCCAATTTAGTACCACGTATTACTTTTCGAACAATTTTATTACACATTTCCAAAACTACCTCCAAATCTCTTTTCCAGATACCAACAGAGGCCATAATATCAAGTTTGAGGTATCCAGCCCTATCCACTTACTCAATACTAAATTTAGTACCATTTAGTACTTTTCGTATAATTAGCCCGACTAGGTCGGTCTACACAGAAACAGGGATCCTAATGCCAAATTTCGGAGTTAAAGCCCTATATTTTCACCCAATAGAAAATTGTTAATAATATATTCCCATTAAGTACTTTTCGTACAATTATAGTACGCATTTCCGAAATCACCTCTTTATCACAAACTTACCACCAACAGGGACCCCAATACAAATTTTTGAAATTGCAGCTTTATCCGTCATCACATTTCCAAAACCACCTTTATATATCAAACTTATTTTCCCACCTTGATTCTTATTCCAAATTTTAGGAGTTTAGTAGCATTTTAGAACTTTTTATAACCAAAATTTCGAATTTCCACAAACCCTTTAGTACATCTATCCTGCACTTCATCTGTGGCTCTCATTCCCAATTTCAGAATTCTTACTCACCACACTTCCAATTTGTTTCATATTTTAGTATTATAAGCTCAAATTTCCCTAACATCCAATGAAAATCTTATTTCCAAACTTCAGGATGGTTCACAACGGTTAAATTGCACAAAATTTTGTAGAATTTAGTACACACGTATATTAATATTATTATTATTACATTTCAGGATTCCAACTTTACCTGTTCACTCAAAATTTAATTTGTACCAAATTTAGTACCATTTAGTACACATAACTACAAATTTCCAAAACTACGTATATTCCTCAGTCCCAAAATTCAATAGTAATGTTATTTCTAAATTTCAGATTTCAAGCACTATATGTTTACCTAATACAAAATTGAACCAAATTAAGTGCCATTTAGTACTTTTAGTGCACATAAGTTCACATTTCGAAAACTTCCTCCATATCCCAATCCCACACTCCGCCATTAAGGTTAATTTCAAATGTTAGCTTCATCCGTTCCTGCAAATTCAAATTGTACTAAATTTAGTACGGTTTAGTACTTTTCGTATATATGAGTACACAATTCGAAAACTACCTCCTTACATCGACTCTACTCCTCAACCTTGATTCCCATTCCGAATTTCAGCTCCAACCGTTCACGAGATACGAAATGGTACCAAATGTATTACAATTTAGTACTTTTCGTACACTTACACTTATAGTGCGAGTTTCCAAAAACCCTTTGGTGCATCTACACATCATACACTCCATCAGTGACCCTCATTCCAAAGTTAAGACTTCTAGCTCTATTACGTCCTTAAATACAAAGGATACCATTTTCAGTACCTTTTAATACTTATCGTACCGTTCTAGTACGAATTTCCAAAAACCCAGCCTTATCTGACCCCTTCGGACCAAGAGTGACCATCGTGCAAAATTTCAAGATTCCAGCATCAGGCGTTTCTTCTGGGTGTTGACTCTCAACCAATCAGTTCTATCTACATATGTAGATAGTTCTTTGTTTACACAAAATGAGACAAAGACTCGACACATATATTTTTTTAAATTAATATAGAAAAAAATATTTTATTTATAAATTTTTTGTTTATTTAACAGATACATGAGTATTTTTTTGTCATTATAAAATACATATATATAAAATCCAATAATTAAACAAAAAATACAAACATATATGCCAAATAATGATAATGGTCAAATGAAATAAAATAAATGAAAACACGTATCTATGTAAATAATAAAAAAATAATAAATTCAGCACTAAACATTACATACATACAAACATATACAGTTATTGAAAATATGATAATTATATAAATTTGCAATACTTCTTCACGATATGAACCACAATGACAGAATTCTTAATAAAAAAATAAACAAACACAGACACAAGACATTTAGACTAATGATGGGCGGATGTGGAGTGGGGGGGCGGTTGCTGCGGATGACGATCTAGTGATGTTGCTGCCACCAGGGAACGGAACGTGATGTGGCATAACTACCCAGACCTTCACGGGCAGCTGGTGCGGGATGTTGAATCTGTTGGATTTGTGCTATCGCCGGGAATAGATGAGGTCCATTCGCGGCATCATAGGTAAGGGCATTGTGTTGTTGATTGTACAAAAAGGCATTAGGAACATTCGGGCGCTGTGAGCCACTGTAGGGTGGCAAATATGAGGGACGTGATGAGGGAATTGCTACGTAGGATGGCTTGGCTGTGGGATTTAAGTACGTCTTGGGATAGATGGGATGTAGGGGCTTTACAGCGGCAACTGAGTTGTGGGGGCCATACACATTGCTGCGTTGATCGCAGACAGTGCCCTCAATGAGCGTGCTCAGGGGAGCGGTATAGATACGGAAGTTCACATCATTGTAATCCAATTCGGAAAGCAAAAACACCGGCATACGATCTGAGAGTACCCAAACATCTTTGTTTTCATCGATTTTAACATCAGCGGGGAACACCAGACCCACATCATCACGATCCACAATACCATGGAACTGGGGTGAGTAGGGCATGGACGAATGCCAACAACCCACAGAATTTTGATCGATTAAATTGAACAACTCAACACCATCTTCGCTCATAACACGGGCAGTGGTGTGAGAATTGGGTCCACGTTCATCCAAAGCAATAAAGTCATGATAGCTATCCTCAACACGAGTTTCATCACGCAAAATCCGAGTGGATACAGCAAATTGCCTATGACTGGCCAGGGGGCTGAAATACATCGTGCGATAACCATCCGAACGAATGGGCGACAAAGCCATGCCAAAGATGCCCTCCTCACCCCACTGGAAATTGAGACCGGCAATGTTGTAATCACCTCTCAAGGGATCGGGGAAGAAGTACGAATGTCCCGAGAAACGCCATGACTTATTCTGTTCCCATGAATAGGCAATCAAACCATAACCCAACTCATCAGAGAAATAAGCAAAAGCATCATCACAACTCTTGCCAATGTCCACAGCAATGTTGGCAATAAAAGTATTTGCATTCGTGTCCTCCGGCCTCAGCTCATAGCGGCGTATGCGTGTGTGTGTGGCCAAATCGAAAACATTCACGGCATAGGGACAGGGGTTGGTGGTGGTGTTGCCAATACCCAAAGTGCCAGTGTCCAAAACCCACAAACGACCACATTCATCAACCTTAATACGATAAGCTGTGGTAATGCTGTTTGCACAATCTCCAGCTGTATTTGAACGCCAGTCGGGATAGGGTATCAATGCAGGAGAACCGGTAACGCTATGATCCATATTAATGTAAGTCAATGTGGCTGGTATACCTGCAAAGCAAATGAAAAAAAATTGAAAATTATTTAATTAATGTTTCAAAGACAATATATTTGCAGGAGCAAAACTTGTTGTGGTTTGCCAGAATAACACACTGCCAATAAATAATGACTGTTAAAAATTATTAAATGCATATAATTATTTTCGAAAAACTGCATTGTAAATATGGAAAACTGACACTTTGCAGTTTTCACAAACTGTAATTACGGTAATTCATTTTTTCCAATTACAATACTTATCGCATTTGTTGCATAACGCTGCATAAATTCTGAAATGTTCATTTTTGGGTTGAAATGTTAAAGACAGTGGCTCAATTATTCCTTTACAGAGTTGGATTAATGTACATGTTTTAATGTTAATTTAATGTTATGTTATGAGCATCATGGGTCTGTTAACTGCCAAACTACAGAGATATGTTAACATGCTTATGTTAAATTTACATTTATTTTGTCTGTTTTTACAGAGACATCTTGATAAATAGATATAAAAGTAAAGCATACTTTTAGGCATTAATTTCAAAGATATAAGAAAATGTAATAAACCCTGGAAAGAATTTATGGGAAAATGCTTTAAGGTCTGTAAAATGCATAAAAATAGACTAGTCGCTTCCAATTTTTTTTATTCGATTTCCTATTGAAAAGACCAAAAATGAAAAATATTATTTTGGATAGTAATTATTAAAAGCCACGATTTACAAATATATGTACATTTTGTTTTAATATTGGTCATACCATTAAAATGATGTAGTGCTTTTTACTAATTAACCCATAATAATAAGTTAATCTGGATGTGAAGACACATTTCCTACATTGTCGGTATTGATATACGTATTTAATATTGTATATGACTAAAATTTTTATCCAAAATATAAAAAAATGGGAAAATTTGTATAGAAGATGCCATTTAGAGGCATTCACCAAAAAATATGCCTTCTATATTTTGCAATATGCGTTTTAGTTTGTGTTGATAACGTATTTCATATTCACTTAAATTATTATTATTTTTATTAAATTAAGTAATTATTAATATTATTAAGTATTCAATTAATAAAAAAATACGGAAGAGCATATTGGCATATACCGATGTTTATTTATCATAACCGACTTCTTCTCAGACTTAAACTCCATTTTATCAATTGAGACGAAAAATGTTAGCTATAATCCTCAAAACAAAAACCTTGAATATAACAAGGATCTACCACAACCTCAGCTTTATATTTTCTATAATTTTCAATTAAAATAATACATGTTCCCTGTTCATTTTTTTTTCAAAGTTTGTTAAAAGGACACTGGTTTTGATACTATATGTATATGTTCCTTTTGTTTTGGGGTTGTTTTTTTTTCGATTTTTAGTTAGATTGGGCCACAAATTGTGTAACACATCGAAATATTGGTCCTGCACATAGAAATGTATATAAGGATCTTCCTATCTCGCCAAGCTCAATCGATCTTGCCATGCATGTTAGATTGTAATCACTCTACAGGTCCGATACTCACGAAATTTAGTATGGAGGTGGGATTATGATCGGCTGAAATCTAAGATATCGCATATATAGAAAAATATATACAATCTCACATATCGAAGAAGGGCTGGACGGATTTTGACAACTCTCAACAATTCAGAATTGCCTTTTTGCTAAATATCAAGCTAAAAAGTATCAGTCGGTTTTGCCGACAGACGTGTACCCCCACCCAATGTTCGATAATTTAAATACGGTGAGATGAAAAAATAGCAACCAACTTCAGACTCCTGTCATTTCTAAGCCACTCGTCCAACAGCTGTTAGAATTATTCCAGTGATAGCTCATTATAAAGGGTACAAAAGCATTTTGGTGACAGTTTTCCAGAAAAAAAGTTATTCTTCATGGAATTCAAGTGATTTCTTTATATTTAACTGGAAAATCACAAGTGCCTATCGTTAGAGTACTCCAGCATTTAAATGTGAATAAGTTTTATATGTATCCTACCATCGCTCGTTACCGTGATACTGGTAGAGTAACCCGACGTCAAGGAAGTGGACGGAAGGAACAACAATATCAGCAGAAATGGCTCGAAAAGTAAAGAAGCGACTTGATCGAAACCCGCGTTGCAGTGGCCGAAAAATGGCTCGTTAGCTAAACATATCGCAATATTCCATTCGGCAAATATTGAAAAATGAGCTCTGGGAAAAGCCATTGAAACTCGAAAAAGTGTAAGAACTTATACCGCAACAGAAAGAAAATAGACTCTAAAGAGTTGCTTCGCTTGGCCGAAGGTGGTGAACTACCGAATTAGTTATATCCGATGAGAAAACATTCGTTGTCCAGCATTTTGTAAACAAACAATATGATCGAGTTTACTTTACAAAGAGGTCAGCTGAAAATGTGCATCTTCGGTTGGCCATCAGAACTCGAGCGCCGGCCATGGTAATAGTGTGGGCCGCCATAACAGCCGATTGTTGCCCTTCGCTCGTTTTAATCGACCGTGGCATCAGAATAAATGCCGAATATTATAGCAAAAATATTCTGGAGGGTGTATTAAAGTCTTGGGCACGCCGCAGACCTTGTACATTCCAACAGGACTCAGCACCATCCCACTCAGCACGTGCCACCCAAGAGTGCTTTCAAAATGAGGTTCCTCGCTACATTTCCAACGCATTTCCATGGCTACCAAAATCTCTGGATACCAATCCGTTGGACTATTGTGTCTATAGTATTTTGGCAAGTAAGGTTGGCACTAAAATATACCAAAATGTCGATCATCTCAAGCAAGCGCTTCGCCCAAAATACCGCAGAGCAACATTCGGGCAGCGTATGACGGTTTCATTGTCCGTTTTAAGGTCGTAATTCGTGCCAAAGGTCGAACAAATCTAAATTTATTCTAAAATTTGATGCTATTTCCGGCATTTTTTGCATTCATTCAATAAGATTTAAAAAAATTCTAAATTTTTGGCATTTGACTTTTTTGCAGTTTTTTTTTATCTCACCCTGCTTAACGATTCATCAACGCCCAGACGAAGCTGTTGAATCTAGAATCTTGATATTTTAGGTTAGGGCCACTCTTGGTCCGAAATTCGTACTAGAACGGTACGAAATGTATTAAAAAGTACTAAATATTGTACCCTTTGAAGTTGAGGAAGCGGTAGAGCTAGAACTCTTAAAGTTAGAATGAGGGTCACTGATGGAGTGTATGATAGATATAACTAAGGGGTTTTGAAAATCCGCACTTTAAGTGTACGAAAAGCACTAAAATGTACTACATTTGATACAATATCGTATCATGTGAAGGGTTAGGGTTAAAACTTGAAATTTACAATGGGAATGTAGGTTTAGGAGTAGAGTCGATGTAAGGAGGAAGTTCTGGAAATGTGTACTCATGTATACGAAAAGCACTAAACGGTACTAAATTTGGTACAATTTGAATTTGGAGAAATGGTTGGAGCTGGAATCTTAAAATTTGTACTTAAATGGTATTTTAAATAAATGGTACTAAATTTGGTACAATTTTCATTTTGGGTGAACCGATAGAGCTGGAATTATGAAATTTTGAAATAAGATTACTATTGCATTCTGGGACTATAGAATGTAGGTAGTTTTGTAAATTCATTCTTATGTATACTAAATGGGAGAACCAATAGAGTTGGCATATTGAAATTTGAAAATAAAATTTCTGTATGATGTAGTTAGTTATGAAAATTTGTACTAAATGGTACTAAATTTCGTACAATTTGGGTGAAATAATATATATAATATATGGTACTAAATTTGGTACAATTTGTATTTAGGCGAACCGGTGCGGATGGAATGCTGAAATTTTGAATTGAGCTTACTGTGGGAGTGTAGGATTGTGGTATCTAGGAAGCTTTGGAGATTCGTGCTTATGTGTACTACATTTAGAACAATTAGGATTTGGGTGTGTACAAATTGGAAATTGGAATTGTGGTGAACCAATAGAGATGAAACTTTTATAATATACTTTCTAGGGGATTGTATGAATGAGATATGGAGGTAGTTTTAGAAATGTTGAGGGTAAGATTGGATTATGTAGAAGTTTGGAAATTCGTACTCGTGTGTAATAAATTTGGAAAAATTTGGATTTATGCGAACCAATAAGGCTGGAATCCTGACATTTACAATTAGGTTGACTGTTGAAGTGTAGAATCGGGGTATGTACTAAAAAAACACGAGATTTATTGCAATATGTATTTGAGGGTGGAATCTTGAAATTTGGAATTGGGATTACTATTGCCAGTACCTCTCCAACATATATGGTACAATTTTGAAGAGCCATGTATATTATATAAATATAACGATGATTTGTTTAAATTTTGCACAACGCAATGTTAGTAAACCAAGGTCACATCTTTGGATTCTGGTTAAACGGAAATCTTCGATATATAATTTTTGATCATAAAATAACAATGGCAGAATGATCATAAGTGGGGATTTTAAATGTTTTATAAGTTTAATTAATTTAATTTTATTTTTGATACAAATTTTAAAGAAGACCTCTTCCGAACTCCTAAAAACGTCCTCTTCTATGCCATGTTAAAGCATTTTTTGTACAGTTTTTCTTACCAACATTTTTACAAATCTATAAATATAATGATAACAACAACAATTTTGGCGGATTTTTTCCAATATAACTTCACTTTCCTCCTTAATGCAAATTATTGGTGTTAGCTTTTTTTACTAAGACCGAATTTTTTTTCTTCACAAATTTTTATAAGGCAACTATCTCCCAGGACTAATTAAATACCATTTATCTTATGACTTCTTTTTGCCATCACCTGTTGCATAGGATGTCTATAAATTAATAATCCGACATTTTAAACGTGTGAAAATAATAATTGACATATCGCCGTAATAAACATTTCGTTAACAACTTCATTAAATTACAATTAACCAGTTTCGTTGGCAATTAAAAAAACGCATGTTAAACATTATCATCTATTAGCGTTCAAACAACCATTAAAATTTAAAAATTACCACCGAAAAAAATTTACGATACTCCTC